GCTCCTGCTTGACACGTGGTTTCTGTCTAGACACATGTGCTTGCTAGGATAGGGCTTAGTGTCCACAGACCTGGGTGAAAGTGCTTCGCTGTCACAACCTGTTGCCCAAGGCTCTCCAGTGACTCAGCCAACATTCTAGGGTGATACCCTGTACCCACTGGGGACTTAGAGACAAGTCCCCATCCCCAGAGAGAGGCCCCCTTCACAGACACTGCAGGTCCATCTGAGAAGGGAGGTCAAGCTTAGTTACTACAAAGTCAGCTATGCCTCTGAACTTCTGTGGAAGAAGGTCACAGAGGGGCCTGCAACACGCATTTGCCCAGATGAGGAAACCAGGCTAAGGGGAAGTGTCTGGCCTGGGGTCAGAAGCTCATTCATGACTCATTCTTTAACCTCAGCTAATTGAGCATCTATGGTGTCCACCCCTCACTAAGCCTGAGGACAAATCCGCAGAAGGTGAAGCCATGGGTTCTGCTAATAAGACAGTGGTTCTCTAGCTGGGGAGACAGACATTTGGGCAGGCAACCACACAATAAAACCAGGCTGACGGCCACAGCAGGAAAATCACACAAAGGGTCAAGGGAGCAGGAGGAGAAAGACAATTCTGTCTTCAGGGAAGAGGGAGGAGGAGGTGTGGTAGACGAACAACGGTCCCCTGAAGATGTATGTGTCCTAATCCCCAGGACTGGCCATTATGTCACCTTCTATGGCCAAACAGGCTTTACGGATGCAACGAAGTTAAAGACCTCAAGATGGGCAGATTCTCCTGGATTAACCAGGCAGACCCAGTGAGTCACAGAGCCATAAGAGGGAGGCAGAGAGTCGGAATCTCAGAAGATGTGGTGATGGAAGCAGAGAGCAGAGAAAATGAAAGAAAGATCTGAAGAGGGAAGAAGGGGCCATTGGCTAAAGAATGCAGGCAGCCTCCAGGAGCTAGGAAAGTCAAAGAAACAAACTCTCCCTCGAGCCTCCAGAAGGAACACAGCCTGCCAACACTTTGATCGTAGTCCGGTGAGATCTATTTTGTAATTCCAAACTCAAGAACTGCAAGAAAGTAAATTTGTGTTGTTTTAAGCCACTGTAGTTTGAGGTAACTGCTGCAGCAACAACATGAGAAACACAGAAGGTGTCACCAGCGATGGGGTGAAACCAGAGCCATGCTCTGTCAAAGGGGGGCCGCCACCGAAGACGGGCGCTCAGGGGGTGGGAAATGGTGAGAAGTCTGGTGTGCTTGGAGGTGTGAGGGGTGCAGAGAGGAGGAGACCAGACCCTCCAGGCCCTTGGATCTCACAGTGCCGGCTCTTGCTGGTCCTTGTCGACCGCCTGCGGACAAACCTGGCTCCTCTATCTTCTCTCCGTGGTACTCAATCCTTCGCGTCCCTTCCTCATCTCTTTAGAGAGGACAATCATGGCTACAGGGTAGGACAGCATTTTCAAGGGACTGAGGATGATCTGTGAAAAGGGCTTATCATGGGCGACACACGGAGCTCTCAATAAGTGTTTGCGAATATTACTTCTCTGTTAAGGTGATGGGGAGTCCAGTGAAGCCCGGCTCGGTGATGGGGCAGAGGGAGAAAGGGATTCCGGGGTTCCTGGCACCCAGGCAGCGGCCTGATACCATCCTATGCTGCCTCCTCCGGGTGTCCCTCACCAACCCGAGGAGACACACCCCATGCTCCGTGTTTCCATATCCATCATACAGCCACATTCAGAGATGAGCGCTGGGATTTTCCTGGGATTCACTGGGACAGCCAGCCTTGGTTCTTGAGGGGGAGTTTCTGCCACAAGACACAAATAGAAGGGAGGCCACGGACTTTGGCCTAGGCTGCAAACGCCACGCTGCACCACTCCAGGAGAGCACCTGAGGCACTGTACCACCTGTGGGGACACAGCCTGCCACCTGCCCCCTCTTCCAGTGAACACAGGGTGCTCACAAGGCCTCTGGATTGCCCAGACCCCTCTCCAGCTCAGGCCAGGGTTGAACTTTGCTTGTTTTCCTCACACTCAAAGCCAGAACAACAGCTCTGGCGATGGGCAATCACCCACTGGCTTCCCTCCTCCAAGGTGAGCACTATTGAGCTCTTGGGCTGACTAGGCACGGTGTCTTACCCTGGCCCCTCTGATGTCATCTGTGAAGTGGATGGCTCAGCGCTGGGATGCCAAGCCTGTCAGGACCACGAGCTCCTGAGTACCAGGCTGGGTGTTAGGCATTTTGGAGAAAAATGGTAAATAAGATCAAACCCCTGCCATCATGTATTCCCAGCTAAGTAGGCAAAAGACAGGGAAAGATATTTATCATTCCTTTCCAAACGTCCTTACATTGTCAAACAGGCTCTTAAACTCAAAGCGATGGTAAGGACCTGGGTGGCTTAGTTGTTTGAGCACCTGACTTTGGCTCAGGTCATAAACCCAGGGTCCTGGCACACATCAGCCCCACATTGGGCTGCTTACTCAGCGGGGAATCTGCTTCTCCCTCACCCTCTACCACTCCCCTTGCTTGTGCTCACTCTCTCTCTTTCTCTCTCTCTCAAATAAATAAACTCTTAAAACAAAACAAAACAAAACAAAAAAACTTGAAGCAATGACCAGAGCCTCGGTGGCTCAGTCAGTTGAGCATCTGCCTTCAGCTCAGGTCATGATCCCAGGGTCCCGGGCTCGAGTCCCACATTGGGCTCCTTGCTCAGCGGGGAACCTGCTTCTCCCTCTCCCTCTCCTGCTCCCCCTGCTTGTGTTCTGTGTCAAATAAATAAACAAAATCTTTTTAAAATAAATAAATAAATAAACCCGAAGCAATGACCAGATCAGCCCAAAGGGTAGGGAAGGGCCCTGTGACACCCTTAAACGACGCTCCTGAAGCAGGTGTCTGTGCTGTTCTGCCTCAGGTTGCCTCTGCCTGCCCTTCAGCTCCAGTGACCATCCTCCCTTGCCCAGTGCACATGGCCAAGGTCTAGAGTCAGGGGGCTTGTGGGGGCAGCCATTGACCAGTTCTGACCTTGGACGACTGGGCTTATCTCTCCGAGGGACTTTACAATCACTACTACCAAATTCCTATCCTGTGCTACAGTCAGCCAGAGCCAAAGAGGATAAAAGTCAGATCCGTCACTTCCCTCCTTGAAAAAAAACCCTGGTCCTCCTGGACACCATCTCACTGCCCATGGAGAGTGCAACGGGATATGCAAGAGGACAGCAAGGAAGGACCCCCAGCACCTTTTTAAACTGGGGGTGCAGGAGACTCGAACTAAGGCAGCCGAGCATGGAAAAGGAAATGCAGCAGCAGGCTGTCTGCCTGCCGAGAGCACAGTTCAGAAGGGCCCAGTCAGCAAAGGCTGACCCTTCCCTGCAAACACCCGACCCCTGTTGTCCCTGCCCATTAAAAAGCCAGTGACAGCTGTTCTCATTAACGGTTTGCTCCCACAATTTCTCTCCCCTTAGCCTTGACTGAAGAAAAAAGAAAAAGAAGAAGAAAGAAAGTAATGAATAAAACCATCGAAACAGGCGGTCCCTTGGCACGCAGCTCAGATGCGACTTTCTGCGTGTCTGCGTGGTGCCCACTCCGGTAGCCCCGGGGCCCCTGCCCCCTCCCTCCATTCCTGCTGCACCCCGCATCAGCCCCTCTCCCCCAGGCATCCTGTGGGTGTCTCTGTGGGGCCCCCTGCTGCATTCTAACTCCTGTCCTGGCTGGCAGTGCAAGCCACTAGACTGGGGTTTCCTTGAGAGCAAGCGCCCTGCCTTACTCATCCTCTGCCTTCAAGAGAATGTCCCTTGTAGCGTTCGCAAGGAAGACAGCCACCCACTGACCCCTACTTTTTGTTGATTAAAAAACACGTTTACTTATTCTGAGCTAGATTCCCTAAATGGCGCTAGTGAAGGCAGGGAGAGCAACATGTACGTGTCACCTATGGTCCCTGTCCCCGGGCAACTTGACAGTCTCAAGGGAGACACACATCAGCAACCTCAGCACAGGGCGACAGACACCAGCAGAGGAGACTGGGAGAGGCTATCGTCGGGAGACACGGGGCCACGGCCAGGCTCAGAAAGGAGGAAAGGTCGGGGGCTCGTCTAGATCTCTGGATTGTTCATGAGTCCTATAGTGGGTGGGGCAAGGGTGATACAAACAACACAACCCACGTGCGTGGTGCCTAAACACCCAGCCATTACCGTGCCCTGGGCTTCCCACGGGCCTGGCGTGAGCTCCCCTGAGTGGGGCCCGGGAAGGCACGGGGTCAGAGCAGGTGCTCTTGGCATTTGCTGAATAAGCCCCACAAAATTTCGCAGGTGAGAAAAACAGATTCTTGAGGAGACGGAGGCATACGGAAGTGAGCTGCCTCACGCTGCACTCACCGAGAGGCAGGAGTGAAATGTGAGAAAAGGGTAACCTGGTCACCTGGGGCAAACAAGAACCTGGCCCATCCCAAGGCCATTCTCTAGGCCCTTCTCTTGGTGGACAAGGCCCTTCAGGCTAGCCAGGGTAGGGCTCGGCCTTGACCAAACCCCTCTTCTCTAGCCAGCACCAAGTTTAGACTTTGACCAAGTCACCCTAAGGTCACAGTGGGAAGGGGAGAAGTTTCCAAGAAGCTGAGTTCTAGTGAATTTTAAGTGTCCACCAAAGCAGCACGTGAGCACCAAATGAGTCAGGGACCCAGACTCTGCCAGTCACTTGACATGTGACCTGGGGCAAGTTTCTTCCCCCCTCAAACCCTAAATGTTTTCATCAGTAAAGTCAGCAAGGTGGACATAAGATCTCTTTCAGCTGCAACGTTTTATGAGCCGTGGTTAGAGAGAAGAGGACTTTTAGATTCTGCCGAAGGAAAACTCACAGGCTGGAAGGAAACAGAAAGTATCGTCCTTTTACTGAAGGGGTCCTGGGGTGAGGGGACCCTTGATACACCATGCAGAGAAAAGAATTGAGAGCTTGCTAGTTTTGGTCACCGGGCTGGAAACATGGAACGAGCTAGCCATCCGGGGCTTTGCTTGTGGACCGAGAACAAGATGCTACTCACTATGCAGCAGGCCACCAGGGCTCCTTGAGCAAATCCCGCCAGCACATCACTGGGATGGTGCTTGTGGTCAGACACACGCGACAGTCCCGTGTAAAAGGCCATCATGATCAGGGTGAACTGCAGGAGGGGCCGGAGCAGGCGGGCCCCTCGCCAAGTGAAGCGGGCCTGTAGGTACAGCTGGAGAGGGGAAAGAAAAGGAACAGACACTAAGTGCATTAGAACACCAGGTCGAGACCCACTCTGTTTCCACTCAATGGAACCATCTAGACCTTTGGTGACATGGTGTGTAAAGAGCATTCAACTTGGATATGACCTCAAGTTACTCAAACCTGGAGCCTTAGTCCCCATACAAAAACAAAAAGTACAAAAAATGAGAAGAGCCAAAGAATGCCCTAGAGCCCACTGCCTGGCACATTCTAGACACTTCATGAACGTGTGTTCCCTTTCATCTTCTTCATGGTTAAACTAATGAAAGCACAGTAACCAGGGGAGTACAGGTCTCTCTTCTGCAATCCTTGACGACTCATGCACTGCATTTGTGTGTTTCCCTGGACACTAGCATGGTGCCATCTATATACTACTTATTGCTTAGGACCATCTTGGAAAGAAATGCAGGACTGATAGAGGAGGTTCTCGTGACAGTCAAAAAGGGATGTTTCTAATTCAACAGAAAGCACCTCTACCAAAGAACAAGTTTCTAAGTCACCACTCCCAGCTATGGATTTTTGAGTTCAAATATAAGGAAACACATAAAGCAAGCAGACAATGACAGAGAGCTTTCACACAGAGGCTGACAGACACTGGGCTGGGTGGAGTAGGAGAGTAACCTGAAGAAAAATGGAAGAAAAAAAAAAACCACCTCTGGCCGAAGCAAAGAAGTTGAAATGACGTCAACTGAGCATTGTCCCTCAGAGTTATCTTGCTGCAGTTTCCGTTCTAACCTCTGGGCACAATCTACTTCCCAGGTTCCTGTGGGAACTTGGGAAATGAGGGGGAAAAGGCAACTGGACAAGGGGAACTTCCGACGACAAATCAAAGGCAGGCACTGGGGGAGATCAGGAGAAAGGGGAAGAGAGCGGAGGGGAGGAGCTGATGGCCCCAAGATAGACCTGGGACAGCGGCAGAGGCTGGGCTCAGCCCTTCCTGAGACAAAGGAACACCTTCCCTCTGGCGGACAGGAAGGAGCTAGCCAGTGGCTGGACTTGAGTAGAAAGACAAGTGGAAGTTTCCGGAGCCACCCTTGCCAGTGAGGGAAGACTGCCGAGCTCTGAATTCTCAACTACGGGGAAGACAGTTTCAAAACCCAGGCCTACACAACAGCAGACAACTTTATAATCATGATGAAAGTCTACGAATGCATTCTTGGGCAATCTAAGAATAACAAATGAAAAATAATAATAAAGAATGCACTGAGGTTAGCTGCTAAACAAGCAATAAAGATCGACAGTTTCTCATATGTAAAATATAACCAGTTAAAAATCTAAAAGAAGAGGTAAAATACTCACAGCAGCCAAGGTGATTTGATAAACAGTAATCAGCCTACCACAAACTACACAGGACCCTTTCTGAAGTAAGGGACATAAAGGACATGTTGAATAGACAGCTAGAATTTTTATTTATAAATACTCAGTTTGTAAGCTCATAAAGTTGATAGGTAAATCCCATCCGAATCCTAGGGACATCCTAAAAAGATCTGGAGAAAAAGACTTGAAAGAAATTCTGCTAGGAATAACCTAAAAGGCCCAAACCAGACAACTAGCCAAAAAAGAAACACAAATAAGCCCGGGACTCCAACAGATGCTAAGGACACAGAAATGGGAAGCCATAACTCCTGCCCTACAGAGCATTCATTCGTTGGGGGAATCCACGAACATGAGCAAGGGCACTTACAGGCTTCCTAGGAATTACGAAGAAAATTCCAAAACCAAGGTCAGTTACTAAGGGGAAGGGGCACTTGGCTTAAGTCCTAAAGATGCATCTGCATTTGCTAGGAGTTGAGGGGACAGCGGGGAGGGGTGTGTATCTAGGCAGAGCAACCACTTAGAAGCCAGAGTTCTGGAGAACCTCACAGCTTTCGGTACAGCTGAAGAGGGTGTACAGGGTGGGGATGGGGTGACTGATGAGCCACAGAGCTACAGAGGCAAAGGGGGGGCTCAGGAAGGGTGTGGATATCAAACTAAGGAACCTGACTTTTACTTAGTAGGTCAGTCTTTCCCAAACCATACTCCGTGGAATATTAAGGGTCTTTTAACAAGATGGTAAATGCTCCATAGGAAATCCTTACTTTCATCACCAACAATACTTACTGACGTTTACAGGGTAGCTACCTGCTGAATCACAATTGGGAAATGTTATTATAAGCAAATGGTGAAAAATTACATGATTTTAAGCAAGGCCATCAGTACCATAACAAATAACCTGCAGGTCAAAGGTCTGCACGCCCTCGTTTGTGCAGAAATGAGCCAGCAGTGGATTCTGTAATGGAGAATCAAAAGATCCTTTCCTTCAAGGAGTGGGGATGGGATGACGCTGGCGTAGCTCCCACTTAACACAAGTCTCGGGGCAAAAAGCAACCATCCGGGGCGCCTGGGTGGCTCAGTGAGTTAAAGCCTCTGCCTTCGTCTCCAGTCGTGATCCCAGGGTCCTGGGATTGAGCCCAGCATTGGGCTCTCTGCTCGGCGGGGAGCCTGCTTCCCCCTCCCCCTCTGTCTGCCTCTCTGCCTACTAAATAAATAAATAAAATCTTAAAACAAAAAAAAACAAAAAAACAAAAAACAACCATCCGTTTGCCAGGTTGGGGACAGAAAGAACGCCAGGTGCTCATCAGAAAAACCTCACTGAGCCTTTGGTTTTCTCACAAATAAAATAATCTGCAGATCCTCAGAAAATGCTCATTTAAAATCCTCCAACTCCTCCCCGCCCCTCTGTAAAGAGGTTAGGTCATGGACCTTGGCAGTCAGGGTGGGGCAGAGGAAGGGTGGGTTTCCCGACCGGACATGGCACACATCTCCCCTTCCACTGACTCAGATACTTAAGGCTGGAGGTTAAGGAAAGAAAATAAATAAATAAATACAGGAGAGGAACTTGGGGAGAGAGGAAGAGACCAGTCATCAGAAGAGCTTCAGGAAAGGAGTGCTTATGAATGAGAAAAGAGAGGGGCCTTGGGAAAAGAATGCCTTGGGGAAGCAGTCAGATGTGGAACAGTCAGCCCCACACTGAAGCTTGCTCCTCGCTACAGTCAGTAACAAACACACCGATCCCAGCTCAGGATCTCAGGATTGACCTCAGCCGGCGTCTGCAGCTGGGGCTTCAGCGCAAAGCAGAGCAGCAAGAAGAGGGTGAATCTGGGGGTGAAACGGCCCCAACGCTACCACTTCCTAAGTGGGTGGTCCCTCAACTTCTCATCTGAGAAACAGGTACAAGAGTGTCTCCCTCTCCGGGTTGCCAGGATCAACGGGACTCCCAGGACCAGGCACTCAATGGGCTCTTCAGAAATCCTATCACCCTTTGCCTTGGTGAATGAGATTTACTCAATGGCTGTGGTTGATTTCACTAAAACAAGTAGATTACTAAAGCAAAAGATTGGGCAATGACCCTCCACGCGGTGCCTACTTCTCATCTGAGAAGATGGCCACAACGGGCTTTGAGGTTGACCAAAGGATCGGGTAAGTCCTTCTGTGCCCCACCCATCCTACTGCTAAATGGATTGGCTTTTGCTGGTTCATAGCCCAGTTCTCGTGAGGCTCTCCATACTAGAGGCCTGGGCCTCACCATCACCAGAGAGAACTTTCTGGAGCACCCTCCTGCCTTGGAAACCTGCACCAGGGGACAGAACAAGGGGCAGGCGACTGCATTCGTTCCCATTTCACCAGAGGAAGTCACACTCCTGACCACAATGATACTGTGGCCCATGTCCCAGACCAAATAGTAAGGAGACTTGCTGGGACTCAGAATTTCTGCAGGGGCTTCTGGGAAGTCCTAGGCATCCTGCAAAAGGGTGGTTAGGAAAATGGTAAGCAGAACTGGACAAAACCAGAAAGGCTGAATTGCTGTGACCTCTCATAGAGGTCAAGACTTATCTGTCTTTACTTCCCCAGCTGCCTGAAGGTCTCTGGGCTGGAGGAATCCACTTCTAAGCACCCATGTGACATCGCAGAAAAGGGTCTGATTTGCAATCAGAGCAAAACTAAATTTGAATCTTTTCTCTGTTCCATGCCACCTGCAGGACCCTAAACAAGTCACTGTCCTCTGAAGTTCTGCTTCCTCTTATGTAATGAGATTCATTCATTTAAAAAACAAACGCCTGTTGAGAGCACCTATTCTGCTCAAAATTGTGAAAAGATAGCCAACACGAATAAAGTTAAGCTCCCTTCCTGAAAAAAAATGTTAAAATTAAAAAATGAAATCTCGTTCTTATACTAAGATTTTTCTTCCAATTGCTAAAATAAAATGCTGACTGTAGACAGGAAGGTTACAACAGAAAGCTGTATGCCTTGCCCACGATCCCCCATCCCCAAAATGATGTATGTGAAAGTCCTGAGCACAGGGAACTCACTCCATAAATGGAGTTCTCTCCTCTTTCCTAGTCCTAGCTTCAAAACTGGGGTCCTGTGGAATTCCAACAAAAACTCTTTAGAGAGGTCTGGCTGAACTCACGCCAGCTCCTCTGGTCTGAACCAGCAGAGTCAGATGTGGAGTGAGTCACACTGGGTTCTTGCTAAGTCATTTGTGTTTCATTACATGATTTGCATACTGGCGAAACAGGTCCGTACTGTCCTCTCACTTCATTTCCATTGCTCTTGGGACTGCTCCGCTCAGAGAGAAAAGGAGGCTTTTGTCCTTCCTTCTGTCCCTGCCTGCTCTCTTCCTGGAAGTCTGTCCAGATCACTGACACTCACAGGGAGAAACTTTCTCCCTTCTCTCATCTCCACCACAGCTCACGCTTGGCTCTGGTTCATGTGCCTGGTGACTTGTCTACGTGGGGCAGAGCTGGAATTTCTCTCTGGGAAGCTATTCAACAGCCTTCAGGACAAAAGAAGAATTTTTAGTGGGCTTTTCTCCTCCTTCGGGAGGGAATCAGCTCTTGCTTCCTGTCACGATCAGGGGGAGAAAAAGAAACTACCAGTGTGTTGAGCCCTGTTCCAGACATTGTTCCAGACGGTTCACATGACCTTCCC